ATGCTAATCTAAGGTGATGACTACCTCATATTTTTATGTTTTCTCTTAGCCAAGATTGTAATTTCAAATATTATCTGATTATATTCTTTCCCTGATGAGTTCAAAGGAAACAAAAGGCAGTAACTAAGATGCAGGCTTTAATTGCAGGAGGAGGGAAAAAAAAGACTCTTCAGAAGTTTCATGAGGCAAAATCAGCAACAAATGTGATTTCTCAGGAAATAAGTTGTCATACCATAGAGTGTGTGCAAATGAGTATCTTCCACAAGAAGAAAGTGCTTGCACACTGGCTGCAAGATCTGGAACTTGTTTCAAAGAATTGAAACACACACACACACAAACAGCCATCACAACTGAAACAGGGTATTGACATGTCCTGGGTTCAGCAGTAGCAGTCATTTTTCTCCTTCTTAGTAGCTGGTGCAGTGCTGTGTTTTTGACTTTCAACCTGGAACAGCGCTGATAACGCCAATGTTTTTAGTTGCTGTTCAGTCATGCTTACTCTGACCAAGGACTTTCTGAGTCTCATGCTCTGCCAGGGAGAAGGGGAAGCCGGGAGGAAGCAGAGACAGGACACCTGACCCAAACTAGCCAAAGAGGTATTCCATACCACAGCACGGCATGCCCAGGATGTAGAACTGGGGGCAGTTACCTGGAAGGGCTAGATCACTGCTCGGTCATACTGAGTATCGGTCGGCAGGTGGTGAGCGGTTGTATTCTCTTCCCTTGTTATTTCCCTTATCGTTATTATTATTGGTGGTAGCAGTAGTGGTTTGTGTTATACCTTAGTTACTGGACTGCTCTTGTCTCAACCTGGGAGTTACATTCTTTTGAGTCTCTACTCCCCATCCCTCCAGGAGCAGGGTGGGGGAAAGAGGGGAATGAGGTTGAGACTACGTGGTTCTGATTTACAGATGGGCTTAAACCATGACATGACAGAAGAACAAACAAGTGGTGGGGGTAGGGAAATGTCAGTTTCAACTGGCACTGGAGTTTGTTTGGGTCCAGATTACTGTAGCAAAGTACCAAGATTGGATATTGCTAAAGCCTGGATTAGAACCCCAATTTAATTTCTAAATGCACATTCATTTCCAAATACACATTTATTTCTAAAGTAATATTTAGTATTAGGTCTAATTTTATCCAGGACTTCTTTCACTGTGGAAGACCAATCTCCCAGGTAATATTTAAGTCATAGTACATGTTTATTTCAAGCTTGATACCAAACATATTTCAAACACTTTTAATGAATCAAAAGCAGGTGATGGATACTATTTTAGGCACTAGAAAAATATATTCTAGATCAAGAGAGGTACAGATGGGAAAGAGTAAAAGGAGTGCAATGAGGCTAATCAGAGATCTGCAAAGCATAACCTGAAGGAAGATGAAAACCATTAAGGGTTATGTACCCTAAAAAGAAGACAACTCAAGGGGGTTCCTCAAAGGCTTCAGACACAGAGTAGAACAGACTCTTTACCTCATACCTGGGACATACAAGACAAGTTACTCAGTTATCCTAATTACAAGAACAATTCAGAGTAAACTTCAATAAAACCTTTCTAACGGCAGAGATGAAGAGACAGAATAGATTAGCTGAGCATCTCGCTACCATTGGAGATCTTTCAGAACACATTGAATAAATATTTGTCAGGATTAATATATAGTTGATCCTGCCTTGGGGCTGATGGATGTGTTACATGACCTCTCTGATGTCCTTCCAGATTATTTCACCACGATTCTGTTATGCAGTTGCTCACAAAATCAGGAACTGGATTTAATAACTGAAAATGCTGTTTCAGAGATTCTTTAGGAACTCACAGCTGGTACAAGATAAAACTAATTTTCAGGTAGCACAGAGCTATTGGTTTCCCTGCTGTTGCAATCACCATCTTCAGGTAGCTGCAAACATACACAGAGGTTGAGGTAATTTCTATTACTCAGCTTGGAAGCCAGTTCTGAAGAGTGGCAGATTAACTGTGTTGCAATTGTGCTAAGGAGTATTTCACAAAGTTATATCTGTTAAAAGCACTCTTGAAATGTAGAGATCTTTAAAGCTGTCCCCTTGAAAGACTTAATTTTCACAGAAGTGATAAAGGTTTAACTAACACAGCTTGATACCCAACTTGGGAGATATCGGCGAAACAAATACAGAGTTTAAACACCATTTCGGAGAACTTAAATGCAAGATCTCCTCCAAGTCATTTACTGGCAAGGCTCCCAAATCATTCTTGCTTAATATAGAATCACAGAATATCTTGAGCTGGAAGGGACCCGTAAGGATCAATTAATTTCCTGGCCAAGTAAGTTATTAACACCTTTAATGCAGCCAGAAGGCTCCCTTGAACCAGATTACTGAAAAACAGAATCTTCAGCATTTTTGAGATCAGGTTCACAGCAATAGGAAGATTTAGTATCATTTAAATAAAAATTATCTCTGCTTGTAGGAGTCATTTGCCCAAGAAAAGTATTCTAGAAAGCACTGGTAATAACTTTAAAGACTCTATCCTCCTAATGATTCTTGTCATGCGTATGCACTGACCACTGGTGCTTCTGAACATCTGCAACCTGAACTCTCTTAAATCTGTCAGACACTGGGAAGAGATGGGTTTTAGAGTTTCCTGAATCTATGGCCTCTGTGTCTGTAATACATTCCCTTTTGGACATCCTCAGGATGAGCGAGTTTTGTTTGTTAACTGAGGCTAGAATTGACTTCCATTGTTACAGCCCATGAGAGCACTTCATGTACAGCCACATCAAAGCAGTTCTTCTGCTCCAGAGGTCTATACAGCACCACATGAGATTTCTATATCTTCAATGGCATTTAGTTACATCCCCACCACCTCTGCCCTCAAGCAAAAATATAACAGAGCTGAACTGTCCACAGGCTTTCAAAGCTCATGATTGAAGACCAGAAGATGAAAAACTGCTTGCACTGCCAGCATCATGCCCTGCACAGTCCCACTATGGGTTAGGATTAGGTCTTGGCTGTGAGCTCCTCTCACTTGGCATTGCTCAGTCTCTCTGTGAGCCTACTTACAATGCAGGATGTTTTGATCACACAGGCCACTCCTCTAGATCCCATGCAAAATAACTTAAAGCATCAGCTTTCATCAAAACAATCCTTGTTGTTGCAAGATCTGTATTTTGATCTCATCATAGCCCAAGCCTTGAAACTCTAACACCAACACCACTTAGCCACAAGTAGTACCTGGTATTGCTCACCTGTTTACAGCTATCTCCTGAAGTACACTCTTGAGTATCAGAGAAGACACCTGTTTGTTGCTACTCCTTGATTCATGCGAAAAACAGAGAACACAGGATATCCCCTGTGCCCTGGGAGTTTGGGGGCATACCTCTTTGGAACAAGAGGTTGGGAAACAGACACAGGGTGCCAGGCTGGGCAGCCAGGGAGCATGGCAGAGGCAGGCAAACAGGCAGCTCCTTTCCATCACCTCTGCAAAAGGCTTCTAGAAATCAAGGAAGCTTCTGATTTTGAAAACACAATTCCAGAGGAAAACAAACCTAAAGACTTTTCCTTTCCCTGACACAATAATGAGCAAGAAGCAGACTGGTCAAAAAAAAAACCTCAACAACCAACCACACAAAACCCCAACCAAACCAAAATCAAAACCACATACACAAAAAAGTCCCACAACATCCACAAACAAGAGGAAACTGTGTAGTGTGGATGCTCACATTAGGACTCTGCACCCATGTCATTTCCTCTTCAAAGTCTGTGTTGGTAAGGAATAACTGCCATGAGCGAATTAAAGAACTTGCAACCTGGCTTTATACAATTACTTGGTCTTTGTAATAATGACTTTTTCTTCTCCCTCAGTATTACAAATAAAGGCATCAGCAGATTTTACTACAATCAGCTTCAGTGACCATGGCAAAAGTTCACACTAAGAGACGAATTCTTACCTCATTATGAGAAAGTACACAGTGAAAAGCACTGGCCACTGCTGTACAGTGACAGCAGTAGATAAAAATCCTTTCCTAAATCCTAGTTTTACACCTTATTTTTCCCTGCATTCCTCAGCAGAAGGCAACAGTCGCATAATCTGCTTTCCAGAGCAGCTTGTTGACTAACAGCTGGTTGAGGGAGAAGTAATGCTGGGTAATGGCTTTATGACTTCACTTCTCTGCTTCAGGTTTCATCTTAGTTACAAATCCCTTTCAGAAGGAGGTTTTTACCTCTGCTAGCTCACTTAGCTCGCTAAGCTACTGTGCTTTGTATTTTCCATCCTTTCTTTCCAAGGGCAGGGGGAAAGTCATGAAAAGTCAACACATTAAACCATCCAGCTACTTCAGAAGCATAATGCAAACTCACACATCCAAAGTTTTGTTCTAGTTAGGATTTTGAGAGACACGCAGCACTGTATTATGCAGCTCATGGACTGAAACAGTGCTTTTGAAGCTACCCTAGCTTATCAGTTAAATATGCATTGATTTTTTTATTTTTATTTTTTTTAAGTGATGTATTATTAATTAGGCAACAGAGCAAAGCAGCTTCCCCAGAATTACGTCTGGCTGTGACTGAAAAACATATGCAGGGTGCTATCCAGAATAAAGTCTCTTAGTAACTAAAGGGGAGGATTTCACACAGCAAGCTCAATTGCTAGTCTTTCAAGAAAAGTATATTAGGACAAACCTCATCTCTTTTCAGATTATGCTGGGCAGAGTGGAGTAATTCAGGGGACAGGTTAGAAACAGGTGACTGCCTACTTAGTCCCCACAAGTTTTAAGCAGCACAAGGACTGCTTGTGGGGTTGCTCAAGCAAATTCTATCCCTGCCTCTTTCTCATACCCAAACCACAGACAGACTCATGGCCCAAAGTGAAGACACAGGACTGGCAAGTCCCACCCAACATCACCATGTATTTCAACAGCAGAGTAATGGTACTACTTGAAATATCAAGCCTGTGGTCCAATTTGAGCTGCTGAACAAAGAACAACCTACATAAACGTAATGAGTTCATTACAGACTTGCTCACACTTACCTTGAGGCCCAGCTCAGATCCTGCTGGCCAATTTCACACATGCACTGCAGAGCTGGAAACCAGGAGCTCTCAGCTCATTAGAGGCAGGGAGTAAAGATGCTTTCTTATTCAGGGAGTCAAAGACAGCCCTCAGCGCAAAAAAAAACAATCTGCATGCCATCCTGTCTTGTGCTTGCTGACGGATGCAGAAGTAATTCAGCCCAGACCTGTAAATGAATGACAGCGAGGACAATTAGCAGAGCAGCCAACAAATACTTCAACCTTCTTTAGAGTGTTTAAACTGGTGCTTAAATAGAAACACATGTAAAATTGAGTATTCACTTCTTGCACAAGTATAAGTAGAATGCAAGTTTCAGTTAATGAAGCACAAGCCATAGATTGTTTGATAGGGCACAAAGCAGAAGCCTTTTGCCCAGAAAAAAAAATGCTTTTTGCCTAGAAAAAACTGCCTTTTGCCTGTTTGGCAGCAGCCAGCTGGCAGGCCAGATTCGGCTAAGAAGTTGTGACAGCACAACTTAAAACACACCTATGACCCCACCTCAGGGTATCTCTGTACAGCTGTTGTTCATGATGATAAAACAACTAGCAATTAACACCATTTATTTTGAAGGGTGCCTCGTGTATGCAACCTCACGCTCATACACAAATCAAGTAAGCCCTGCTTAAGCAGTTACTGTGCACCAGCTGCCTATGTGCACAGGCTTAGACTACTGCAAATGCAAGGAAACACAACTTAGGCTCACCAGCAATGAAAGAGCATCAGCTCACACATATTATAGGCACTCTGTCATAGAGCACAAGCCTGCTACAGTTCAGCTGTGCTAGTTTGAGCATCAACCATTCCAACTGAGAATCTTTTCACTTCCTGCCATTCCCAGAAATAAGAATCAAAAATCCCCTGAAACATCTCACATTCTGCAAAATGGCCATTGCCAGCTGAACCATCAAGTCATCTGCTTCCCTGTAGCAGCCTGCCTGATGCAACCTTGCCAGTTTCCCTTTCATAGTAATGCAGTAAAAATGTATCACATTCTTCATATTGACCTCCTGTATAGCACAGGGAAGAATGGGATTCCCAGAATTAATCCTGGAATTAGAGCTGAGATTTCACAAAGGTATCTGATCTCCACTTGGACATGGTCAGTCATGCAGACTTCACCAAAACCTCTATCAGCTGCTTCCTTGCTTCATTTTCTGCAGATTTGTCAGGTTTTGGCATTTGGCCACTGAGCCTTGTACTAGTGAGACAGGAAAGCCTTCTATTACCAAAGCATCATCGTTTCATTTCACAATCTATGACTAGAAGAATCAGTCCAATCACCTCCAAAGACCAACTGAGTCCACATAAAGTCTCAGGTACCTGAATTTAGGGTGATACCGGTCAAATTATCCCTTAGCCTTCTATTTATAGAGGTGAGCTCTCAACACCCATCTATTGGTATTTCACAGGATTAGGGATCTTTACCAATGTACCCACCACATCAGATGCATCTGATGCAGAGCATTGCGTGCTTCAGCTGAATGTTTCCATTCACAAACCTATAACTTGTGTTTCCGAGTGCTGCACACAGAATCCAGACACACAGATGTGCTCCACAAACACACTCAGATATCATGTCTCTTTTTAACAGGTGATGGAAGTAATTCAGTAGCTGCTTTAATGCAACTTTAAAGCAGGATGAGTACAGGCTAAATAAATCCAGAGGGAAGCATACACAAGCCAACATGGCTCTAATACTGAGCCGGTCTTTTTGCCTTTCTCCTCTTCCTTTTTACTTTTCCCTTCTGGAGGGACTCAAGCATTAGGCTGAGTGTTGAACTGTCGGTTCAGATTTTCAGCCTTTAAGAGATGAATTTCCCTTCCGACTTGAGTCATGCCCGACCTAACCTTCTGCAATTGTGTACGTGTAGTTAATCATATACAACTACACTGAACCCAGTTGTTTAAAGGCTGAATAAATATAACTACAGTGTTGTTACCTTGTTTAAAGGTAGAAAGATTAATTTGAATTCTAACTGGAAATACCGATTCAATGAATAAGCCTGAAACGTAGCAGGTTTTAATCACACTAAGAAATTGGTCTTTTGCATCTCCAAATTATGCAAGGCAAAGCAAGTTCATTTTAATCTATATGTGGCATTATATTTGCCATCTTCATAGTGCTCTATGTCAGCGGGTAATAGCTGTGAAGTGAAAAAAAGATGTACTGTTGGCTGTTGGTGCCCTCCAGGGGCCAGGCCGGGTATAGCAGTCAGGCAAAACAAGCTTTGAGCATTCAAGCACATACAATAAATATTGCATATTATTACCCCTCTAGAAAAAGGTGCGAGGGCCATTATTCACGCTACCCTCAGTGGACAGCTTCCCTCTGAAGTCCCACAGACACTGGGATGCTTGATCAAGCAGAAGCAATGCAAGTGACGTATGCATTTATATTTGACTGCTACTTTCCCTGCCTGGATTCCTGTGAAAACAAGGTTTGTATTTGAACACATTGTGCATCTCTCTGTCCTCTTCCACTAGCACGCAAGCCTCTGCGCCTTGATTCCAGTAAACCTGAAGGAGAAGTAGAGGTGGCAAATATACTACATGCTGATAGCGTTCATGAAAATTGGGATCAAGAAATGAAAGCAACTAAATTTGATGCCCCTCATGCTGTGAGGCTGAAGCACCAGCTCTGTCCTTACATTTGCTACAGACTGAACCATAGGGTGAAAAAAATCCAAGAAAACTCAGTTTGTAACTTCCATCCATTAGTGTCCATTTTTGGCTGCAGGCTTACTCCAGGTTTACATAAAACAACTGATACCCTCCCGCAGGCTTTATACCCTCTGGAACAAGACAGAAATCATCCTTTGGCCTTCACAGACTGCAGATTAGTTCCTTAGCATAGGGACTATTAATTCACATTTTCCCATGCCATTCTGTAACACAGCTGCTACAAAACTAGACATCAGAGAGGGCAAGTTAAAAAAAGAAATCAGGACTGTCAGAGTACAAGAACAGCCCACACAAGCCCAGCAGATAAACTGCACATTTTACTCATAACATACCTCCAACAGAGACCTATCTGATCCAGAATTTCTCTGGAATTAACAGAACTCTTCACTGCCTCCCAGCACACACAGCTCTAACAGCAGACAGGATGGCCAAGAGCAAGAGGAGGTGTACTATCAGGGCATGGTTATGTTAGAATTTCTCCTCCTTAACGTTCTCAGACATTATGAAAGCATGCTGCCAAAACAAGGTTTGCATTACTGTCCAGTCTTACCCACAGAAGTAGCTATAACTTTATAAATACTTTTTCTGCAAAATTAGGATGCAAAGTTTTGGGCATACTTGAGCTGTTCATACCAACACCACATCTCCCTTCTCCTCACAGCATATATTATCCAATAAAAGTCTTAGTTGTGGAATGTTCCTCTTTCATTGCAGTAGGTATGGAACCACTACTTTGTTTCAGGGGTTGAATTTTCAGTACCTGCTATTAGTTTTCAGCCCACTCTGCATAAAATGTTTAAATGAAAAGATGACATTTTCTTACAGGTATAAGCAGGCAGGACTACACTGAAGTCTGTGAACGCCTAGCAGGGCACACTGAGCTCAGCTCTAAGCCCTGTGCTTTCTCCTCCAGAAAGTCCAGTGTCAACCTTCAGGCCCAGATAATTGCTGACCTAATACACCACTGGGATATATGGAGATCACGAGACTGCCAGAGCTAAAGCTCCTGAAGAATGCTCTATGATGGCTGGTGCACAAGTCAGCTTCTGACTAGAGCTGCTGAAAGAATTACCCTCTCGCTCCCCCTTGCCCCTCACAAAGCTCTCTGGTCCTGTCAAAAATTGAGACTTTTAAGACAAGGAGAATCCAAAAAGTCTTTGATATAATTAATATCAGATAATTGTTCAGAGTCTTCTTTCATCTGCCAATTACAAGTGGAAATAGAGTCTGGGGAGCTACTGCAGATCATCTTTATGCAATTACAGCTTATGATGAACTACCCAGCTCCAGCAGCACTCCCCAAGCTACAGCAAAACGATTCTAAACAGAAGACCTGTAACAGCAATGACATAATGTCAATTCCAGTATTTAACATGCCCACAAGCTAGAACATACACTCCTAGTTTGCTGCAGTATTTGACCACGTAGCTCATGGATGAAAAATGACTTCAGAAATCAGAGTGGCAGGTAATTAGCAACACATGCTGTCTTCCATTACTTTGTTTTGTTCTCCTTATATCATTTCCCATCCATGCTCTTTCCCAGTGTTTTCAACATTTATTTATAAGAGGCTTCAAGCTTGAAAGGCAGCTTGGCTTCCAACAACACCACTGTGCTGGTTTTGCAACCTGACGCATTTGGGTTCAGACTGAGTGTAGTCCCAGATAGCTGAAAATTTGACAGTGAGCAGTAAGAAATCTGACTGGCTTCACTGAGCTATGTACCAGTGCACCCTTAGCAGAAATACAGCTTCATCTTTCTACCTCCCAGACTAACTGCAAGACATCAGCCTCCTAGTAATAGAAGAACATCAGTTAATACATAAGCCAATACAACAAAGCATCAGGGTTCTGGCCATGGGGGACCTCAGGCCTAGAGCTGCACAGGCTGTTTTCTGTGAAGGCAACAAGAAGGAAAAGCTACTCTCTGATGACCCCACATCATCTGAGCCATTTTAATTACACTCAGTCAAGACTGGTTAATATGGGGATTCTAGAAGAACCATCTCTATTATATTCCATGCCTTCCTCTCACTGAAGCATGGAAGAAAACTGAGCACGTTTATTTTGACCCCCTGCAGACCAGAGCGAGAAGCAGCTCTGCAGGTTTTCCAGCACTGGACACTGCTGGGGAATGCAGAAATGCACCCCTTACCAGCACCTGCAGGTGGCACGGTCTTCTTGCAGATGTCTAATCTGTGCTCCATAATCACATTCCAGGGATAAATAAACCCAACTTCCCAGATGAAAAGGGGTTTCAAAGCTTATGTACTCATTTATGATTTGTTTTGTTCAAACCCATCAATTTAAACAATTGTTTTATTTTCCAGAAGCTGTGCTGGATTAGATTTAGTAAACACTGACAAGAAAAGATTAATGCTGGAGAACACAAAATGAGTTAAAGGAGACTGACAACGAAATACACAACCCAGCACCACACTCAGAACTGAGAGCATGGAGGCTCATGAGAAATACAGCTCATATTGATCACAGAAGTAGCAAACATCTTCAAATAATGATGCAGGGGCCAGTTTTAGAACTGAAGTTTAGCGGTATTTGTAGCTCAACAACACTTCACTGAAAAGTTTCTGCAGAGTGACTCAAGCAAGTTAAGAGAGAACATGCTCCACTGCACTTCTCCTTGAGGCTGAGGCTGCTGCATAGGTTCCCCCACAAATACGTTACACAGCTTCTGAGGGGATTTTTCCCACATGAATTCTTACTTGAAATTCTTACATAAATTCTCACGGCAAACAGGACCTCCAAAGCGATCCAACCAGGGGAAAAAGGAAAACAACACTAACAAACAAGAGCAGCTTTTTTCAGTTCAGGTTTTCAGGCTGCACAGCCGCAGGGACACATCAGTCAGTACGGCTAACAGGGATGGACAATGGGACACTGCAGAAGCAGGGCCATCGACCATAGTCCCAGCACCAACATAATGGCGTGCCTTGGCCTCCTCAGTGCTCACAGCATGCCCTTTCCCAGCCCAATAGCCAGTATCAGATAGAGGATCTCACGGTCTTTGCACTGAAGCTACTGGGTCATTGATTCCACTAGGAAGATATGCATCAGTATGTTTACCCGTGGTTCAGTTACCAAATTGCCTCAAATGAGAAAGAAATTGTGAGGCCTAACACTAAAATTACTGGCGTTGTAGCAGGCCTGCACTACCTTGGCCACAGAACCGAGCAATTACAACACGTCAGTAATCATAACTGCTTCTGAAAATAAAGTACAGCTCATCAGGGTGGTCATGTTTCCCCTAAATATATTAAAGGGTCATTACCTCAAGAACTCATTACATAACACAGCACTTCTTAAAGGGACAGGATTAGGAAATGCTGAAGGGCTTCTGAGAAGCTGATAGTCCGTCCTTCCGTCATTTCTGTCACGGCCCAGTTCTTTCATTCAACAGCTAGAAACATTAAGGCTCCATTTTCTTTGTTCAAAGCTTCTTGCTGCCCTTTTCTGGCACAGAGTCTTGCTGAGCTTGGGAAGGAAATCGGACTACTCATATATATCAGCATATTTTCTCCCCTGGGCCTAAATTGAAAGCAGACAACATGCTTCATAAATATTAATTTACATGGGATATTTTAAGTGCAGCATCGGAGTTGCCCAGAGTTTTCCTTCTCATGCTTCCAGCTTCATTAATCAACCTAGCCCAGACAAAATATATTACAGGAAGATGTCTGCAGTCACTGTGGTCTAAGGCATAATCATACCTCAGAGATGAATATTTGCAAGCCCATGTCTCCTCTTTAACAAGAACACAAGAAACCAAACTGTGTGGCAGTTGTACAATGCTGCTGTTAACTCCTCTCACACAGGGAGGATTCTTGCACTAAAAAGGGACCAAAGCTGGAGAAGAGCAGCAAACAAACTGGGAAGAGTCACAGTATCACAGTATGCTAGAGATTGGAAGGGACCTCGAAAGATCATCTAGTCCAATCCCCCTGCCGGAGCAGGAACACCTAGATAATGTTACACAGGAATGTGTCCAGGTGAGTTTTGAATGTCTCCAGGGAAGGAGACTCCACAACCTCCCTGGGCAGCCTGTTCCAGTGTTCCGTCACCCTCACTGAGAAGAAGTTTCTTCTCAAGTTTAAGTGGAACCTCTTGTGTTCCAGTTTGCACCCATTACCCTTGAAGTGCAAGGAAAACAGCAGACCCAGAAAAGAGCACATTTCAGGTGGGAGAGGCCTGGAGGAAAAGCCATGGCTTGCGCAGGAGATACCAGGGAGCCAGCCTAGCTCAAGTGCTTGTGAGCTTCCTGACAGAGGTCAACAACAAGGGAACAGGAAAGCTCCTCTCCGCCTTCACCAAGCTTTCTGTAAGTTCTTACTGCATTACATATCATGGTTTTGAGAGACTGCAAGCAGCAGAACCCCACTGTGGCAGCACTGTGTTCGCTCCTCCCTACTGCTCTAGTTGAGAAGATGGTTCCCACACTGAAAACCTGCATGACAGAAGTTTGCTGTCACAGAGCCACAGGGAGGAAATAACAGAATAACAGCAATAACAACAATGATGCCAAGACGCTCTTAGGATCAGCAGTATTTGAGCCAGAATAACACAGTTGTCACTGCTCTGTTCTCACAGAGCAGAGCACCCGTAACAGCATGTCACAGCAAGCTGTAAACACAGGTCAGAAACCCTCTCCCAAACTTCATGCTCCTCCAGAGCCCTGACACTCACATGTACCCACACCCAGCTGCTCTCAACTGGGTGCCATCAACACCAGTACTGCCTGGCTTCATCCCTTGTCCCCTGCTCCTTCTGCCTGTGGCACACCTGAGCTCCAACCATCTGTTCTATCCCTGTCTCCCTGATTGGGCTGAAAGTAGACAGGACTGAATTCTCATTAGCTGTACACACAGCATAGCTAGCAGGCAAAAGTATCGCGGCATTTCAATTTGAAAAGGCTTCCTGGTACCTTATCATCTTCTTGTCTACACCTCCCATGTTTACATTGGTGTTGGCCACCAGAATAACAGCAGTGCCTTTCTATTTATAGCACCCTCTGTTTCAGGTACAGCAGTAGCAGGGTCCCAGCTCCATGCTCAGTGTTTAAGTGACAGGATAGCTTGTGTGGTCATGCTAAAGAATGCAGAAATTGCTAAATGCAGCCAAATGTTTCTTCAGGTCTGGACAGAATATCTTTTCGATTTCAATACATTTGCAAGCTCTAATCTTTGCATGCCACAGCTCTTGCTTCTCAGCCAAGAGTGGAGAAGCAGAAGCAGGTTTTGCACTGCTTATTACTCTTTGTAACAATTAAATCCAAGAATACCAGCAAACCAAAGAATAGATTTTTCCTCCACTGATGGATCGTCCAGATTTCCAGGTGTGGTTCTTTAGATTTCTCTCAATAAGAAATACAGTGTTACTCAGTTCTGCATGTCATTCCGAGAAAGCCACCTGAGTGTGTTGGATAAAGAGATGCATTTTAGCTAGTAACATTTTTTCCAAGCCTTATCAACTCGGGATTGACAAGTGATAATGACAACCTGTATTCTCTTACACTTCAGAAAAATAACAAAGTCTGTGGTCCACACTTCTATCATTCTTCCTCCCTCTTCTACAGAAGAAACTCCAGTTAAATACTTGCACTTCCATAACCCTTTTGGTCTTAAATCCAAGCACTGCCTCCAAGTGCATCATTTTTCACTGAATTCTGCTCCCTCCCAACAGGCTAAAATTCAAGGTCACACCTAAGATCATCTGTCCAGATGACACCAGTAATTGCAACAGACAATATACCCAAATACTGCTCCTTGCAAACACAATTCCAAACCCATGAACCGAGACCTGACCTGTTTCCTTAACCAACTGCAATAACATTGATCAAGACTTGTCCCCAAGAAGTAAGAGCCTCGGGGTCCTTTGCCTCCAGACCCAGAACCCAGAGGGATTACGGCTCCCTCCCTTGGCAGGGTCTTCTGCAGCCGTGTGGAAAAAGCGTGGCAAGAGGATGGAGGGAGAGAAGGGGACACAGCAAGAGATAAGAGAAGCCTGCAGATTTGATATCAACTAATTGTGTTGCATGGGGCCAGAAGGGTTGGAGGGAGACGGGCTGTTTGGGAGATAAGACACCACAGGATGAGATGGGCTGGGACAGGATGAGAAAACCTTTTGGTCCAAAACAAACTATTCAGTACCTCCCTACAGCCACACTATTTGATTTTCCAGAAAAATCACAGCAAGTTACAGCTCCTCTCCAGTTCTCCAGGGTCCACATCTCTGGTGAGAAATCATTAAAGAGTGAACACAAGCCCTTCTTGTCCGCACTGCCTCCAAACGAGCCAGCTGTGAGCACCCCCGAGCACTGCAGTGGGACAGAGAGCCATATTTAATAGTGCTAAATCTAAAACCATTTTAAATAAATCCCCCATTCTTCTGGACCAGTCCTTTCCGTTTACATCACCATCCACCTGGGTAGCATGAAATACTACTCTAAAGCTGATAATTATGTTTTTATAGAGATTAGATGTTAAATGCTTTCTGATTGTGTTTAGGGCTCAAACACTCCAGATCAGTTCAGCACAAAAAGAAAATTATTCCCATTTTCCCCAGAAAAAAACAGTAGTTTCCACTGAATAGAAAAGGTATTTCCCCCCCCCCCAAAAAAAAAAAAACCTGCACCAGTTTAAGACCAAGAACAGTCAGATTTCAGGCTGCACTAATAAGAGATTCTCAACTCTAATCTCAGAAATTTCACCTTTAAATACCTGTCAAAGAAAGGAAAGAGCCCCTGTTAGTATTATTACTAATAGAGCTGGAAGGCCTTCAGATACTGAATCCTGGAATTACTCAGCCTGTGCTGAAAGAGCAATTTCAGAGTACTCGTGGAGGTGGGTACTTAAACATTAATTAGTAAGCTTATCTCTCCCAGATCTGTAAGAATATATTCTGCACAACTGAAGTCAAAGCTAGGCTTACAGTAGAATTAACACTTGAAGCCATCTGAGGCCTTTTTCATCTTAAAACAAAGCCACGGTCACTCTCACACTAGCACCTATAAACCCCAAAGCAGCCTGCACACACAAAAGCCTTGTACTCACCTAGCCACCCGGACAAGAACATGGGCAGCATCCAGGAAGAAAATAACCCTGCCATACTGGAGGCAGAAATAAGCATTACACTTTCACAGCACCCTCCAACAGGACAAAGAAACCCCCAAGCAGCTCACACTGCAACCATACAGCTCCAGAAAGCACCAGTGGTGGCTGGGTCAGCTCCTAATCATCCCCTGCAGCTGTGAGCCTCAGCACCTGCAGGCAATTATCTCATTGTGCCCACCAGCTGAGCACATCCCCATGCTAAGCAGACCTGGGGATCCACTACCCAGCACCTCTCCTTTTGGGGAGCGGCTCACAGAAACCCAGTGTACCCAAGGAGCTTGGCATGCAGCTACAGAGCTCACAGCACTGGGGTTTCAGCTCTCTATAAGGCATTGTGACCCTTGTATTCTGTGACAGTTATTAACATTTCAAGTTTTTTCCCAGCTCGGAATCAGTTGCTGATATACTGTATTCTGAACATTTTTGTACCAGGAAGAATATGTAGGACTTGAACACAGATGGCAACAAAAAGGTTTCAGAAGTCTATCACTTTCAAAGTACAAGTGCACGGGTAGATGGGTAAAAACACTAAAACTTGGTAAGTGCCACTGATGTAATTTAAACAGTGCAACAAATGCTCAGATGTGACTCAAATTCAGCAGCACAGCCCAATGCACACCACTGCTTCTGAAGCAAAAACCTCCAAATACCTGTTCTGTCCCTTACTACAGCAGTTCCCATTCTTGTTGCTCCCATTTTCAGTTGCTGCAGAACTGATTTACAAAGCAGGCTGTGATGCTCATAAGTTACTTCTCAGAATTGGCCTGGAATCTTGACATTTGCAGGATCTGTCCTCTGCAGGACAGAAGGAAACTCATGAACATTATTTATTCTCTTTTAAACATTTTTCTTTAAATCCTTCTAGGTTTCCTTCATTAAATGGAAGACTACAATGCACGCGGACAAAAATAAGAATCTGCCAAAACCAAACTTTTTTAGTGCTGCTAGTTTAGAACAAAGACATATAAAGCATAGGATGTAATTCACATCAGATGGAAATCCTGCTGACTTATAAATAAAACTAAACTGGCACTGAGTCCTTCCCTTACATTTCCTATTTGCTTTTCAGTCATCCAGTGACAACAGTTCATTTGTGAGAAACACAAGTACTGTATACAGTATTATTAAAATGATGTAATTTGCAGACAATATCAGCATGAGCAGGGTCAGCTCTTATCTGATGGGTAGTACTGGATGAAGTCTTTAAGAAAATATGCTTTTTAAGGACGAAACAAGCAGCAGGAACTGTTTCTGTTTGTTTGGGAATATCCTCCTTTGGAAATACTGTGACCAGTGCAACCTTGTTTTACAACAGTGCTTACTTCCTGACCTAAATCTAAGTGAAAGTCCCAAGTGGTACCCAAAATGTTCTTCCCTTCCTCAAGTTACAAAAACAAAAGGAACAGAGACATTGAAAAAAGCCCACTGAAACCATCCAACCACATTTGCTAATGGACCACATTCTAGCTTTCAGCAAGGCAATGCTATTACATCCCTTAATCCACCTGCAAATCAATGATGATTTTGACTCGCTTTCAGCAACAAGATCTGTGTGCATGGACTGTGCTACCTGATGAGCCAGCCACCCGTACATGATTGATCAGCATCCTACCCCAGCTGTGTCAGAGCCACAATAATATGACAAATTCTCTTTGTCACGCTTCAGCTTTTGCTGGTTGTTAACACAAAACAGGTGTAAAGCAGAGGAATGAAAAATACCAGCCGTCATGGGAGATATTGGAGAAGAGGACTGTGAACAAAGGGCTAACAGAGAGCATCCCCAGAGACCAGCCTTCAGCAGAAAAGACCATTTGAAATGCCCTTCCCTGTCTCCAGCAGACAGTCAATCACAATTCCCTCCAATTGTTTCACATTAAACTGTTGGTTATACTTAGGGCTGTTTCACTCGTCTTTAATAAGGTACAATACAACTGCCCACGATAAACTCTGGTACCCACCTGGTACCCAAGTAGGGTATATATTTTCAAAACCACTATGTTTCTGCCTTCATTTGTAGGGTCCTGATTAGCTTTTGAAAGCCTGATCTGCAGGAAGACCAACCAAAATCAGAGCTTTGGTTTAGGGTATGTACCACCATATACCATCTACGCAGACCAGTAAGAGGAAGTATCATGTCTCCACTCCAGCTGGCAACCAAAACTCAAGACTTTTAACTGCCTGACTCACTACTGCAACCAGAAAATGTTGCCCAGGTATCTTTTGCTGACAGTCAGCTCTGGAATCTCTGAATTAGCAGAATCTGAGAATTACAACCACCTCTCTCATAAATCTCCAGTGTAGTCCTGAATTAAAGTCCATGGAGGCTGACAGGAGCCATTCCTTCACCAGGTTTGGGAAGAAATACTCCATGAGTTCTCTGAAACCTACTAAAGTCTACCAAACACTTGATCCTGCCTTTAGTTTTCCTTCTTCATGCTTGATCCATGATCTACGCTCTATTCTCAACATGACTGCTTATCTGCAGCCACATCTTTTCCATTTTTACTGTGAGGCCTTTGTATAGGATGTTTCCAAATACAGTCCACATGTCTTTAAATATATGGAACTTGAATTTCATTTGATGGAACCCAGGCAATTTATTTTCCCTTAGATCTATCCATCCAATTTGATGGTTTTTTAAATACCAGCCATGTACTTACTGTACTTTCATTTTCAGACGTGGCCTCGCTTCAAGTTTTGACATTTTGCTGAAAAGTTTCAACAGCAATTAGTCAAAACATGATGATGTTTTGGTTTGCCGTTTAATCCATACCAGAGCGCAGGCCAAAGCGGTTTCCTTCCAGTGAACACAGACTTTCTAATTACACTCACTAATCACAGGACAAGCAAGTGGAAGAGTGCCTGAGTTCATGCTCCAGCCTAATGAACATGATTTGATGTTCCTTCACGCTAAGTGACTGTTGCCACATAGCAGCTGGCTGTGAGGCAGGGCTCCTGTGAGAAGCCTTGGCTCTGTTTTTGAGTCCTCAGTGACTCTCACCCCATTGCATTTAGACTCCTCTGTTTCCCCTAAAATCCACTTTGATGATCTCCCAACACTTTATGATTTAACCTTTTGCTGCTTTTAAAAAACATGTTGACTGTAACCAATTGAATTAACTTTCCCACAGTCAGGCAGCACTGTTTCCAGTGGTTATGTCACAAGACTGGGAGACCAGAAACTGAGCCCAGGGCTGTAGGGCTGCATCTCAAATCTCCTCTCATCACAGCTGAAGAAAAAGTGGGATATTTAACCCTACCTTTTACTGGTTTTGAGTTAACTCTGGGTCCTGAGCTGTTTGGCCCTCCTAGTGCAGAGAAATGAGTGCACCCTCTCTACACTTGCTCCTCATGTCCCTCCAAAATGGAATACTAGCATTGTCCCTAGGGGACAGTTGTGGACTAAGAGACTCCAGATCTTTGTCACTAAGCACATTTATATCCAAAGTATGTCATGCGTTCAAAGTTTCCAACAGCAAAATGGATCTGTGTTGTTGCTCTAGAAACAACTGTGTTCATTCATGCAAAGGTGGTAAGTGGGTTTACACCTGTACCTCCAGAGGTGTGTTGGAACGTCTGCTATTTAAAACATCAACTAGGACCCATAGCAGTGTAACTACAAACAATTTTGACTACATATTTCTAGAAAAACAAATTTGAGTATAGGAAAAAAATCCCATAGTTTCCATAGAGAGAAAGAAACATCATGAAGCCTATTGGATTATTTATAATATTATTAGCATTTTCACAAATATTATCACCATGGCAGCAAGTAATTCCTTGGCATTCCTTAGCACAACATAAAATCGTGTCAAATGTTATCACTAAAAGTAAAACAATAAAACTTCATTGCTTTAACATCTGGAACAAACCTTTCCAGAGTATGACATTCTTGTCAATCTGGTAAGATAATAAACCATTAAATACTAAATATCAGAGAGCAGGGAAATGGATCTTGCACATATACACTGTGACAGCACTCATGAAGAAGATAGTTTCACAGTGACTGCTCTGCTGATTGCAGTGGGAGTACATGGCACAAGCAGCACCCTAAAACAAGATGCAGTGACTATCAGAACACCATTTAGTCTCCTAAGTCACTTAGAAGCTTATTAAAATCTTACTTTATTTCCAAACTTCTCTGAATCATAAGAAAAACCTGAGCTAAAATCAATTGTACATCCTGAACCTCTTTTACAGCTTCCTGTCAAAAAAATATTTTTACCAACAAGTAGGAAATGAGAGAGAAACAACATCTCATACACAGCGTAAAATGCACCACAAAGAAGCACGCAAACACATGGCCATTACCAAGCAGGCATCTCAGACTTGCTCTCTAACTCAACACCATCATCATCAAAGGCCTTTAAATTTACAAATCCCTGCAGCTGCAAGCTGACTCCTAAGCACAGGAAATACTGTTTCTGTAACACTGCTCTTCCTCTCCCATTTTACCAATAGCACAGCTGCACTGGACACACACAAGTCCTCCAGCCCCACTGCAGCTATCCACTGGAGCAAGCCAGGTTTCCAGGAACAGACACCAGCCCAGCTGAGCCCCTGCAGGGCCCATTCATTGAGCACCTCAAGCTGGGGAAGCCCAGCAGGAGACTGCAGCCCACAGTGCCAGCATTGTGTCACCCAGGGATGGTGGAGATTGCAAAGATCCTGGCGAGACGGTTTTCCAGGTGCTCTGTGCTACCAGCCAGCAGCAGGAATGATGCCCAGGCCAAATGTGTCATGCAAGGCAATGTGAACCAGCACACAACAAGAAGACAAGGTGATGTGAGACAGCGAGCTTGCTTGTTTAGCCAACAGTGATACAAATCAAGAACAATTCCATAAAATTACAGAACTTCCCTCAACATTTACACACAAAGGGCAGCTACCTACCTTTAAAAATAAGCAGGCCTGATATGGCTTGCATCTCCAAGGTTGCAGCAAGTCTACCCATGCCAATACTGTCTAGAAAGCATTTCTAAGAGAAAGAAGTCTGCAAATGATGGATGAGGAGGACTAAAGCTCATGTCTTTCAGAATGATTAAAAGTAGGAAAAGGATGAATCTGGACTTCTGGCTCAGTAACATAATCATACATCTGAAAATGAGGATGCATATATATATACACACTTATATATGTGTGTGTATATATACACACACAAACACACTTTTTAACCAGTTATGAAGAGTAATGGCAAGCTCAGCTCTCAATGCAGCCAAGAATTATCCTAAGGCGACTACAACATGATGTCTGGGCCACATATTGCAGCAGCAAAGCTCCTTGAGGGCATGGCAGAGACTGGAAAGTTCTGCTAGGGAAACATTCACCCATGAAATGCAATTCCTGATGCCCATTATAGCAGAGAGGACGTCTACTGCTGGCTCTGATTAGCTGGCAAGGAAAAGCTGAATTAAAAGCAAAGCATTGCAGGATAAATACTTGTTATCAGAAAAGCACTGGATGATTGCATCCCAGTCCCAGGATTTTATTCACCAATCTCACCATCTGGCTGCTCAAACCATTCCAGCATCTCTGAGTATCACTATCATAACATTGGGTAACAATTAAAAAACCGAAGAACCCAATGCAGAAGGTAGGTGCTGCCTGCATACAAGGAGACAAGCTTTAAAGCACCAATTTTAAGTGGATGTGATGCATAAGTTACAAGTCATAAGCATGTCTTTTAGAACACTGACCAAGTGGCTTCCTTCATGTACTTAATGTTGCCATATAGAGTCAGCAGCTGCTTAATAGTTAAATGCTTCAGATTACTTCATAAATCCCAATTTTTATGCTTTTACAGTGTGCCTCACAAAACTGAGTTACCCCAAACCAGGAGAATAAGGGAAATCACCCTGAAAATGTAAAAAAAAATGGGAAAAGAAAATCCATTATTCAAAATCCTGTTCCTTACTCACCTAAAATATATTCATTGACTTTTCACACTTGCCATAAAATTACATCTCCTGCAATTTATACACAGCTTTTAATAGAAAACCCCCACTGGTTGTATTCGTGCTACTAGGTAACAGTTGCTGCAGAACTTGGCCACCTCTAATAAAATGAAAGGTCTAGGCATGGTCTCACGGGCATGGCAGGATGTTTTACAGATGCAACTGTCAAGTGTAGTGGCACCTTACCATATATGTCAATGTATGAAACACATAACAGGAGGTTTAAAGAACTCATTAGGAAAATTCCAGGGAGCGGTTATCAAAATTCAAATACTATAGGTTTTTATTTTGGCTTTTGGGGGAGCAGAGAAGAGGGAGGATGTCTGATGGGTTCTGGCTTTTCCTTCTTCTCAAATACAAGAACCTTTTGTAAAAGATAAATAGTGGGCAAAAAACTTTCTTTAATGGAAAAGATCTTTTTCTTTAAAAGGCACACCAATAGAGAAGGTTTATTCAAGCTGAATAGGTACATTTCAGATTCCACTGCAACAGTTTTGGATTTTGATGTATGCTGACTACCTCAGTTATTTGCTAATGTAAGCATAGCAAATTATCTGCTATCATCTAGCTGGAGCTATTAGACTGCAGCTAATAATTTACTCCTCAACTCATCTTTATTCTGAACATGCAAATTATTAATTGATTACGGGTTTTCTGTAGTCATCTGTGCAAATGACTGCTCTTGCCATTCATTACTGCCTCCTTTTCCACCTGCCTGTCAATCAGCCCTTCATGGGGATGCCAAAATAACATTTCAGTTCTGTGCTGCTTGTGGAGTGATGGAGCTCAAATGAAAGCACAAGCAGAGGGGCCCACACAACAGCTCTGTAGCCTCTCAGGTGTGTGATGCTGCCACTTGGGATGCACGATACTCACTGGGGTTTTGGCACTTCAGGAAGACGCTGTGAAAAGTACGTAACGCAACACACTGCTGCTGCGCAGGATGAACAGACTATAAGCAGGAAGTCAGAAAGCCCAACACATCTTCAGCACTTTGCACATCTGCTCTCATATTTGCAGGTACAGAAAGTAAAAAGGATGACTAGATCTACACAGGATTATTAAACACAATGCTTTTCATGCACACAAGGCACAGAGCCATATCCTTTTCAAGACCCAACTCTTGCTGATTCAAGGGTAGTTGGCAGCCTCACACACACAAAACAGGGCCATGCTTTACAAAGTACAGCTATAGTATCAGCTTGTTCAGTGACTCTGGAGTGCTTTCTTCACCAGATCCCATGCACCAAGTGTTTTCATGTCTATGCACAGAAGGCAATTGGTGCCATTTGGTTGCCTGGACTGTCAGCTCTCTATGGTGAGTATTTCCTTTTGTAACTCCTACCGTGTGTAGCAAATAAGGCAAAGACCTTTGTAAAAAAGGACCAGCGGATTCATTTTAAAAGGCCGCTTAAAATAAATCCATTTATGTACCATAAACTCTTACTACTTATAGAGAAACAAATAAATAAGAAGAAAATGGAAGTATTGACAAAATACATTGCCACCCTGAAGATTTATAAAGAAATTGAGCAGTAGCAGGTGCCTCCTCTGGCAACATAGATAATAACACGAGTCCAGATGAGCTTCAAAAGTCAGATCTACAGCAGCTTTACCCTTTTTTCCACCAGGCACTGAGAACAGGTTACTAACAGCTTCCTGCTATCTGCTAAAACAACAGTTGCTTAGGTCATGGTAAAAAGCCAGGATATCTGGCTGTATTTATTCTATTACAAGCTATGTTTTTAATCTTATAAGAAATCATGTGATGGCTTTATCTCTAGCTTTGAAAAGACTTACCTCCAGGTCCCTGCACTTGGAGCAAGTGTGTTAGAGGAGGTAAGGCAGGAAAAGCCTGGCTAATTTCAGAGCTCTGCCAACAGGGTGGCACAACACATCCCAGGCACAGGGCAAGCCTCGAGCTCTCTCAGGCTCAGCAGTAAAGGTCATTTGTAGAAGTACTTACTACAACATGATGAAGACATGGGAAACGCACAGCATTTGCATTCTCTTCTAAAATCATAAATCAACCTCCACAAAAGAAATCAGAAAATTTGTATGTTTTAAGATAATTAACTGGGTGGGGGGGTCTGTTTCTTGGTCTGTTTTTATGACACATTTCCATTACATATTCAACATATTCCCTACCACCCTAAAGATAAGCAAAATAAAATCTTCCCTTGCTGAGTGCCACATAACATCTTCATCCCAGAAACAGAGACTTAAGGACAACACAGCAAGGTTCAAATACTACAAACACATTTGAATGACTAATTCTCCTTAGTTTCAATGTGTGTGAAAGGCCTAAATATTTTTGAGACCTTAGGCTAAATATAAGACTTGCTAAAACTACATACCCATTTGCAAAAATACCTGTAAGTTTCTCCTCAGCTACCACTGGGACTTGCTTCAGCTTTCAAACCTCAGTTTATGGTAGCATCACTATTTTTTTCCAAGTGCTCTTCACTTCTGCCAAGCAGAAAAGAGGTTGTTCTTGATGCTGGCTGCTTCCTGTTCTTTTCCTCCTGCAGCTCTGATTTTTTTCCATCCCACATCCCTGATTTGAGTAAGGAAAGGGGATGGGGAGAAAGAGATGCTCACATCTGTGCAGAGTCACATCTCTAGCCAGCCCTCCTGCATTCAATCCTCTGATTTGGTTGTAGGGAAGAAGCAGGTCTTGATTGCACAGTGCTTTGAAGTTTAATGGTGATTGGAACATATGCTGAAAGACAGTGTCACCACCACATTTATATCAAAAGTTGATTATCTATTGAAAAGAAGTTTGTTTATATGTTTACTTCCACTTCTATTAATATATGGGGAAGGGAGAGGGAAATTAGCATATGAAAATGCCAGATGTAACTAATAGCTATCAAAGTAAGACAGGGCTGGGCTCAGATCAAAGGGGTTTGCTAATTTGGATAAGCCTGATATTGTCTTTTCCGTCTTGGAGTTACTTTAGGCCCTCACGGTAAAAAGATTTATTGGGAACCAGAAAAACACATCTGAGTTTCTCATTTTACAGACTTTACGTTCGTATTACGCCGCTGCAGGATAGCACCAAAAGACCAACATAAATTCTCTCTGGTACCTTTCAGTCGATGTTCAAAGACGTGAAGTATTTGGCACAGAAAATTTACGCACCAAGGTGATACTCTTAACAAATTATGTTGAGACATCTGAAAGTCATCATTTCTGTGCACATGCACGCATTTTAAAAGAAAATCTACAAGAGGATCAAAACCAAGATTAAACCACATCTGTTTGGGTTTAAACTACATTGTCTGCAGAGTTCAAAGTTGTTTCCTTTCGTCTAAAAAAACTTACCCAGCTGCTTTTTATCTTAAATTCCTACCACTATCAAAGAAGTATTTTCATTGGCCAACCAATGTTATTTCTAGAAGTTGAGCTAGTTAGGAACAGAGCTAAGTAAGAAAATATGCTTTCTTCGTCAAAGGTCTACCCTCTGTGACTTGACTTGGCACACTGAGAAGACAAATGGACAGGTTTCATCAGGTTCTAATGGGAGCAGTGTATCTACTGTATGTCATCATGCCATAAATTAGGTTCTCAATCTTTTTACACAAGTAATTGACTACAACTGACACTGGTAAGGAAAACATGAGACAGAATGAATTGGAAGAGGCACAAATTATATAATAAATAAATACATACAGCACAAATCCAATACATGGGAAAGAGAAATGTTTTGAAAACTGTCATCAATCAGTAAACGTTCTGCATAAATGCAGGTGTGCAGTACTGCTGTAACAGCAGGACTTGCTCAGCTACCACTGACAAATGTGCACACACATGTACATGTGTATGTGTATGTATGCACACACACAGTAACACTAGACCAGGAAATCCTGATGTTCAGTGTTAAACAAAGAGAAGAATAGGTGGTACAAGATGACTGCCTCAGTCGTAGTCACAGTGGTTTGCGCTAAAATATGGGAGAAAAATGAAGTTAAACTGTGACAGCTGCATCCTGAGCAATGAATTTCACTTTTCTGTGTGCCCTCTTCCTGTTTGAATTGCTTCAAGTAGTGTGTGAAAGTCTGTTTCACACAGCAGAGCCCCACTTTCACTCCAGTGGGAACTGGCTGAAGCCTTTCATGAACTAGGCTACATCCTAACTCCTACAGGGAAACTTCCCTACATCCTAAAGCCAATCTGGATTCACAAACCAAGCAACATAATGCTTTTCTTGGCCAAGCTGTTCTCTGAGCTGCCCTCTCTCCCCTTCCCAACACACACAGCGTGGGAAGGAAAAGAACTGGCATTGATCACCCTTTCAACCCTGAGCCAAGAGCAGAAGCTGCAAAAGCCTAGGTTGTTCAGGTTTGCAGGAGGGTGTGCAGAAGACTTGGGGGTCCCACTCTGCATTTTGGTGCCAATCCCTCCCCCTGCAAAGTTTCCTTTATTTTGCAGATCTGACCCTATTCTTTCTGAAGTCAGGAATATAACTCACTTTTATTATGCAGCAAAAAGGAAAACTGAGCAGTTGGGCACTCTACAGCTGGTCTACTAATGTCACAATCTTTTCAATATGTTCATTATGCAGTTGTCACAGATTCATACATCTGATAGCTCTCAATCTGCAAATCATTCATATCATGACCTAACAGCTGGCATTTCTTGCCATAACACTGTAACTATGTACTCTTAATGTATAGAACATATGGGGCTAACTTTGCTTACCCACTGCATACACACTGTGCTCTGCAGTCAAATGTAATTTTACACATCTCCAATTTACATTTAACATTGTGTGAGAGAAGACAATAAATCATTTGGCCTGGAAAGAGGAACAATACCAGCTAATACATGTAACTAATCAGAAGCACATAATTTTTGTTGTATTTGTTTTCACTGGAATCTTGAACTTGAAAATATTTTGGGTGGTCTTTGTCCTAAATTTGTTCCCCTTCTCTTTCCAAAACTGAGTGTTTCAGAGTAAGCTCTCTTTGTCTTATCTGTTGCAAACAAATAGAAGAAAAAAAGTGATTCAATCTGCTGACATATATTTACAGACCACTCATAGAAAGCTGGCTCTCCGTGTGCAGCTCTGGAGGAAAAAGAACTGTAACTGGATTCTCCAAAGGGGGAATGTTCAAGAATGGTAATAAATCAAGATGAAGAACAATAAGAAAATATGCTGTCTATTTATTCAAACACCTTCTGGCATACAGCAAGAAAAATAGCCCCAGTGCCCCCATCACTACTTAATGCAATTCTCTTTTTCCAGGTCATGGTAATATATGTTCTAACCACCATCTGATAATTAAATACAAAGCTGGCCAGAAATAGAATTCATACATCTCCAAGGGAATGTCTTCAATAATGCCCAAGTGCCTTAGAAACTCAGGTCAAATTTTTAAAGACCCAAAGCAACAGTTAGGCCCAATCTCAGTGCATAAGTCTCATGCTTTTAAATATCTTTTTGCATTTGGCTTGGGCCAGCAAGTGTGTTCAGCTGTAGCTACACAAACTTCTTTTTAGGAGAACCATGCTCCTCCATAGCAGATCATCTGATGAGCCACAGTAACTGGGCCCAGGAATGTCAACACAGCAAAAGCCACTCATTTCAAAAACATGCTGCCCTTTCCTGTCACTGATGCTCAGAGCCCTCCACGGGAGGTGAGCTGAGGACAGAGGGTGAGCAGCAAATATCCTGGCTCTACCCGCTGCACGTAACAACTCCCTTCAGGGCTATTTCAGGGTATTTCTTTCCCCTTCCCAGACCAATACACCCTTCATCATTTCAAAGATGGATAGATGCAGATTGGGGGTTTTGAGGTTTTGGGATGAATAACAGCAGTAAAGGCCATCCAAATGATTTGAATTTCAAATCCATGGAGAAGCTGGAGGGCAGCCCTTGGCAGATGGCTGGTCATAACTGCTGGTGCAGCAAACATTAGGGTGTATTCACTTTCTAACCCCATCTTACTCTGTAGCAGACATGTCTTGTTTAGCAAAAAAGATTACAGCAATCTGCACCTTCACTGCAGGCCTTGAAAATTCTGTGTGAAAAGAACAAATGTTTTGCTTCAACTAAAAATGTACGTGTTGCACAAGTATGGAATAAGTATTTATAAGGATTGTGTATATCTGACTCACATAAACATACTCAAAGATATATAACTTCCTAAGAGCTTTTCACAGCACTGATGCCATGAGAGACACACACACCAGCAAGGCTCTCTCACTGACCAGCTCTCTTGTATTGAGACTGATTCTCAATAGCCAAAAGCAATCGACCTCTCCAGTTGCAGACAGACAGTCTTTCTGAGACCACTGCCTAGTGGGTAGAGACCAGAGTACTCCCTTGCGCTTGGGCAATTCAGCTTAGGATAAACATTTCACCCTCCCAGCCCCAGAGTCTTCCTCATACTCCCACAGAGTCATTAAGTGCCTATTTTCAAGCATCAGAATACCAGAAAATATGAAAATGTAAACCCCAACAAGATTATAGTGTTGACATCACATTGGCTTTGCTAATATTGCTTCATATTACGTGAACTTTGAAGGCTATAGTTATGGGAAGGCATTGCAGCCTTCCTTTCCAGACTGGTGAAAAATGTAGCTGAGCCCTTTTTAAACTACAAGGATGAACCATCTCTTAAAGCACAGACCCAAGAGTCAGCGACTGAGCTTCACGCTCACCTTAGAGCAGTTCAGGGTGGAGATGCAATGTGTAATGGCTCTGCTTGGCTAACTGAGCTCTGCACTGCCTTCCTCAACAGCAATGTCTGGCCTTATACAAGCAGCTTTAATAACACAATGCTTCAAAGAGAAAAACAGCTTCAAACAAAATCTTTTTGTTTAATCACACCAAAACACAGTAAATATTTCAAAAGAACTTAATGATATAAAAGCAAACATGAGAGGCAAAATCCTGCTGATCTGAAAACAATTTTAGTGATGTTTTGTATCCAAAGAGACCCTCTTAAATATTGTCAGGCCTCCAGAATGTTCTTATTAGTCCTACTACCGCAGGACCCATGAGCTCTGGTCAAGTGCTTTGACCTACTGTACAAAGATAATGGAGACAAAACCCACCCTGAAGCAATTTGCAATTAAAACAAGATGAAAGACAATCCAGGGATACAGGCGAGCCAGCAGGGCATTCAAGGTAACCGTGATCATCCAGCCAAGCTGTGCCTCATTGTAATCTGCAGATTTTTGATGAGTATCAAACCACCACAGGGAGTTTTATGGAAGTTTTGAAGGAACATATGCACTTTGTCAATGTGCAAGAAAAGTTCCTCCCATGAGGGCAATGCAAGTGTGAATCTAATCAATGTGGGATGGAGATGGGCACCGTGGGCCATATGCATTTGCAAGTCAGCCTTTTGGCACAGGGGTATGACCAACCGGACAGGCTACAACAGGTCTCAGTAGCACTGTGTAAGCAAAGCCAAGATGTTTGTAGGTGATACGACAGAGAAAGGGACCTTGGTGAATGGATGTTAATAGAAGGACAAGGCAGAGGGTGATGCAGTACCAGAGGGTCAGGGAAAAATAAACAAAATGCAACATGAAAGAAAACTGATGAGGGTGCTGTTTTATTTCAGGCTTATAAATGGATAAATAGCTTATTTTGTCTGAAAAGGGAGAGTCCTGCTATCACTTCTTCTCTTCTTCCCTATGTGCAGACAGCATGGAAGGAACTTTGCTACTCATCAGAAACAATATACGAGACTGAAGGAATTCACTGTGCAATCAGACAAGGTCTAAAGCTAACACAGAGTGGGAAGGTTAGGGGAGGAACTGAAGAGAGGTCTGAAAGAAAGAGGACTCTTTCTCAGGAAGAAAGGGAGCGTTATCCTTTGAGCCACTGCAAGAAGTCTGGAAAGATAACTGTGCAACACAAAGATACCACTTCATCCTCTTCCCTATTTTGCCTACTGTTCTCATCTTGTTTATAGACTTAAGGACCAGCTAACGCCGTGCTAGATCTGCTCATCCCAGAAGCCTGATGTTAAGGTATCAAATGAATTGCTGTTCTTCAAATGGAAAAGAGATGTTTTAGTGGCTTGAATTTTCATATGCCGGTGTAGAGAAAATATGTTTATTTTCTTTTTTATA